AATTCACATCTGACAAAACTCTCATCTTTGCTTAATTCCAATCGTTTTTTTCTGTCTAGTCCTGAAAATTTCCAAATATCACGACTGAGTCCAGTTTTCTCTTCTAGTTTTGCAACTGTAGTAGCACAGACATGTGTACTGTTGTTTCCGTATAGATACCCAGGCCTGAATCGTGTGAGAGGGAAAATACAACAGGTCCAGTGTCCGTTAACAAGCATGTCCCAAAAGGCAACCAGTTAATGATTTGAATGAATTTGATATGCTGGATCGAAAGGAAAACATATGGCAACCTAGTTATGAAACAGACCCAACGTGCCGACCGCCGTTTCAATGTTGAAGGTAAAAATAATAATGTTGATGATGATGATGATGATGATGATGATGATGATGATGATGATGATGATGATGATGATGATGATGATGATGATGATGATGATGATGATGATGATGATGAAGAAGATGATACTATTTCCCAGGTCAAATTGTGGGGAAAATAAGAATAGACCCACTGCCAATAACATGTCGTAAGAGTGTGCAGTTTCAGCAAGTCGACGTCTGTGACCTGCGCGTTCCGGGCGGGCCGGGTTCGATCCCAGCTGCGACGGTTTCTCTTGCGTTGGTTTCGACAGTGGTACCGAGAGCTGACCGTACAGGAACAATGGCAAACTACTTAACGTGAAATTTGCCTAGAAAATAAAAGACATAATAGCCAAAAAATTGCTGGGGCTGATTCTGCAACGTCCTGTAAAGGATACGCAACTAACTGGTTTTAGAGAACTTGAATTTGCGACCCGCTAGCTTTACATAGTTTGGCTCTGTGGCTAAGTCGATGCGAACGCTTCGTAATTACGGAATGCCGGGTTCGATCCCAGCTGCGGGCCATGCACCTTGCGTTGGTTTCGACTGTGGTATCAAGAAAGCTGACCGTCCAGAAAACAATGACAAACTACTGAACGTATATTTGCCTAGAAAAACCATACAACAGCCAGGGGCTGTTTGGGGTTGGTTCTGCAACGTCCTGTAAAGGATACGCAACTAACCTAGCTTTACATAGTCTATATGCGATATTGGAAGACACCCGTAACTAGACTCCCAAATAAACTGTTTAAATATGTTTTAGCAGACGGAGTGCGCGGTGTTTAAACAGTTCTGTTTTAACAATATCAGAATAGGACGCGGTTGGCTGTAGCTAAGTTAGCAGATGCGAACTCTGCAGTTAGAAACTGCTTTTGACAAGAGATTATCTACTGTATTTCTGCTGGTGCGAAGCTTTTCATTGAGATATACTTCTCGTGTGGGTTCCAGATCCCCATTGCGAGGAAGACAAGAAAAGACCCATTGATTCCACAACATGCATGCTGTACGGATCGACAAATTTGGGGTTTTCTTCGAAGTGGGAGTGCATTTGCCTGAGAGGCAAGGAACCAACAGTCTGCATACAAAGTCAGGTCTTAAACGGATGTGCAGGTAACACTCAAATTCTGGAACTAGTCTCAAGTCTAGAGGTGGACGAACAACCAGAACTTTCCGCCTGAGTTTACAACCGCTGAACGTGAAGAGGGAAAATATATTCTTCTCTATCTTTTCTTTCCCCTACCCCTTCTAATCCGTTTACTAATTTCTTCTTCTCCTTATTCTCTTTCTCTTTTTTTTCCTATTCTCGTTCTCCTTCTCATTTTTCCCTGTCTCCTTTTCGCACTTCTCTTTACCCTCATCCTCTCAGCAATCTTAACAGTGTTCTCATTCTTTTCTTCTTTTGACCTGAAAGTTTTCAGTTTGATTCAACATTTCTGTACCACAGAGGAGATATTTCTTGCTCGTGTTTCTCGGACAATGAGATGTTTGAGACAAACAGTGAACATAACTTGAAGAGACCAATGGAGAGAAAAAAAAATATACGTTTTTGTTAGAATGGTGGGAACAACACATGCAACTAGACCTACTGAAAACCAAAGACTGAAATGGTGTGTCACCTGGTCAGAATGAAACCAACATCACCAGTTGCAAGAGCGTTTAACATGAGAATGTGAACATCAAGAGGCAGAGAAAGACCAAAAGGAAGTGGATAGATGGATTTAACAACTTGCTGAAACTCGACAATATCACCATGCAGCAAGCTAACCAGCTATCAAGGAAACCGATTTTTAGCTGTGCCTACGATGCCTAACAGGAAGGTAATAGTTTCACTGCACCTGGTACCCACTCAAGGCATTTCGAGAGACCGTGTCTTTCAGGCGCACCGTGATGAGAGTGCCGTTCTACAAAGGACCTATTACACGATGATGATGATATTTTTCAAACCAGTCGGCACTTGGTGGGTGATATGTTCAACACCGAATAGACCGCCTTTACTTCCTAGGACTTTACCTTAATGCCGGCTGGATCAACCTGGGAGTCAAGGTCTTTTTTTTTTTTTTTGAACATTAAAAAAATCATGCTCTATGTTGATTTGAACCCACGACATTCGGGCCAGTAGCTAGCGACTAGCCGCTACACTGTAGAGCTCCCTAGTGGTATCGAGCGGAAACTGGCTCACAAATTATTTATGCAATGTCGGCAAGTCAGCGTCTGTGGTTTATGCGTTGCGAACGCGCTTCGTAATACCGGGGTGTCGGGTTCGATCCTAGCTGAGGGCCTTGCGCGATGCATCAGTTTCGACAGTGGAATCGAAAAACTGACCGTCCAGAAAGCAAACGCAAACTACTGGACGTAAAATTGCCTAGAAAAACAACAACAGCCAAAAAAATTGCTAGGGTTGGTTCTGCAACTTCCTGTCAAGGATACGCAACTATCATTTAAATGTCGACTAGGCATCATTCCTGGCAAGCTTAAAACTAAAAACTAACTGACCCGAACGCCATAAGAAACATGAGCATGCCAGGTTGCACCCCATGTCATCTTGACACAAGAATTTCCTAGACGCGTGTACTTTTAATTTTGCAGATGTCTTATGTTAACAATATTTACTTCTAACGCATCAAGCTGGGTAAAGGTAAATGCGGAAATCTGGAGGGGATGGGGGTGGTGGTTGCTGAATATTTACCGCCCCATGAAATGTTGCAGAGCCACGAGTGTCACAGGTAGAATGTTGACGGATGGAAGACACCAGTGATTCCCAAGCACAAGAGCCTCCCTTGGCAATGGTGAAACGTCGCAAGCTAGCTTGTTTCGGGCACGTCGTGGGTAATGATTCGATTGCAGAGACTGTGCTTCAAGGAACACTGGGGGGTAGTCGAAGAGGAGGAGGGCAAAGAAGAATCTGGAAAGACATCAAGAAATGGACAGGAGTAAGGTATCATACACTTATTCATCAAGCGAAAGACAGAGACAGATGGTGGGTTTTATGTGCTAGTGCTTCCATCAATACACCTCCACGATCCTAACGGGCCAAGGGTTATGTTATGTTATGTTATGTTATGTTATGTTATGTTATGTTATGTTATGTTATGACTCCAGGGGCTCTCTCTCTCTCTCTCTGTTTTCAAAAGTCTGTCATGGACTCAGGGCTGTCTCAACAGCATTATGAAGCCCCGGGCAAGCCATTGCGCTAGGGCCCCTACGACACGCACTCACATGATTGAAATGTAAATAGTTGATTATGTGAACCATATATTTATTTTACTGCCTTTTTAACAAAAGGTGATAAAAGAAAAAGGAACAAAGGGTTAGGGTGGGGCGGGAGGGGAAGGGGTATAATTTCGGTTTTCATGTAACGTCGAAATAATGTAAACGTCTGGTTTTTTTAAAATATTTTTTATGTATGTCAAATTCCTTTACATAGACAGATAAGCATGAAGCCTCTATGTTCGTCAGGCCCCCATTCAAGTGTCCAGCGCGTCCATGCGTTAGGACGACCCTTTAGGAACCCCATAGGTTTCAATATTGACATTAATTTTTTTTTAGAGTAAATCTATATTAGATTTGTGAAAAGAAGATACAGGTTTTTTTTTTTTCCGGGTTAAGGTTGTTTTTCAGGTTTTCCCTCTCTAAACAATGCTATGCAACCTTTAAATCTGCTTCGCGAAGCTCGAGGGTCGGCCGACCACACACTGGGAGCCAGTGGAATATACGATTTATGACGGCAGTTGGGGGTCTTTAGGCGATACAAGACATAACGCTGGCAGATAGAATAGAACATATATAACGGGGATCAACGAGACAATGAAAGATAGAAAACAGCTTAGATAACAGGAGTCGGAGGTCACTGGGTGATAGAATACAACACATTTAACAGGAGTTTTGGAGTCACTGAGTGAAAGAATACAACACATTTAACAGGAGTTTTGGAGTCACTGAGTGATAGAATACAACACATTTAACAGGAGTTTTGGAGTCACTGAGTGATAGAATACAACACATTTAACAGGAGTTTTGGAGTCACTGAGTGATAGAATACAACACATTTAACAGGAGTTTTGGAGTCACTGAGTGATAGAATACAACACATTTAACAGGAGTTTTGGAGTCACTAAGTGAAAGAATACAACACATTTAACAGGAGTTTTGGAGTCACTGAGTGAAAGAATACAACACATTTAACAGGAGTTTTGGAGTCACTGAGTGATAGAATACAACACATTTAACAGGAGTTTTGGAGTCACTGAGTGATAGAATACAACACATTTAACAGGAGTTTTGGAGTCACTGAGTGAAAGAATACAACACATTTAACAGGAGTTTTGGAGTCACTAAGTGATAGAATACAACACATTTAACAGGAGTTTTGGAGTCACTAAGTGAAAGAATACAACACATTTAACAGGAGTTTTGGAGTCACTAAGTGATAGAATACAACACATTTAACAGGAGTTTTGGAGTCACTGAGTGATAGAATACAACTCATTTAACAGGAGTTTTGGAGTCACTGAGTGATAGAATACAACACATTTAACAGGAGTTTTGGAGTCACTGAGTGATAGAATACAAACCCCACACATTTCACAAGGAGTGTTTGGAGTCACTGAGTGAAAGAAGAATACAACTCATTTAACAGGAGTTTT